TGCCTGATTCTTACTTGGTTCATTACTTTGTAACAGACATAGATGTGTTTAATTTCAAATTCATGTGAAGCTAAAATATCTACCAGTTAGAAACAAAATATGTTAGTACTTTTGAATGCACCTTCTTATTATTTCACAAGTATTATTCTTCATATAACCTTCACCGTATTTTTGTGAAATCATTAAATTCTGGGCCCATCTTTACTTTCCTCTTAATTTTGATGCCTGAAACTAGTGTTAAAAGTAGTGATTATTTTTCATTACAAAGCAGTAATTCCATGACTTCTGGAACTCGTGGAGCCTGGCTTGCTGCAGGTTTCTCCCGATGTAAGTTTTTTTTGGAATTGTCCCCTCTGCGGAGAAAACCTGCAGCAGACCGTTCCAGCGTTGACTCTTTGGTATCTCAATAACTAGTGTTTGCTGCAACCTTTCCCTGCAGTAAGGGCAGGTGCTGGAGTCTTCTGAAAACAGGACTCTGTTAAGGAGAGAAATTTGGCAAGAACTGAGATCGCCTGAGAATTCTGTCCCTGTCAGCTCCTGCTCACACTGACCAGAATGTCCAAAAGCTATTCAAGGAGGGGATGTATAAATACATGCTTGGCACGCTCTTACTAAGAGCCCATCTCAGAAAATGGAAATGCCATACAAGGATATAGCATTTATGTTGGCCAGAGGTATATATTTAGTAATAATCATCATAAAGGAATCTTCATTCTTCATAGTATTTTATACCTTAATAATTGGAGTCCTGTGCATAATCATAGGGTTGGTAACCTCCCTCCCTGGAGGCACTAGCAGCTTAAAAAGAAGCAGTGATATTTTAAAAGCTATATATATGTAAATCAGGCAGAGCACAAAGTGATGGATAGATGTATTCTTTGTTTAAATAAGTCTCTCTGATTTCACTTAAGTGCCTTCAGCCTTCGTGTGCAGTTTTCTCTAATAATGAATGTTTTTCTCTAAAGTTTGAACTGTTGTAATGGAATTAAATAGTCCTTTTATGATAAAGTTCATCCAGTTCTTAGTTACCCTTCTGATACCTGGTTAGTGACTGTTGAAAAGAGGGGAAGGTTAGTTCACTTCAGTCCAATAGTTTGGGGAGTTTTTTGAGCAGAAATGATAAAATGTAGGTGGTACTGCCTTGCTTGTACTAGAACGAAGAAGAATGTTTATGCTGCGTTCCCCCTCTTAAGTATTTGGATAATTGTCACTAATGGTTATGGACAGAATTCTCCTCCTTGAGCCATTTAAAACTATTTTTCAGTACAGCTGTAGAAGCCTAACTAAACAAAAATTTGATGTTAATCAGTCTTCCTACCCAACGTCGGGTATTCTGCATTTGTAAGCAAGTTAAGGCAAGGTAATTTAGGCAAAATTATCATGGCAATGCACAGGAGGCTGGAAAGTCTGTGCTATGAGTTATGGTTTGATAACAATACTGAAATAATCTGTGTGCAGTGCAGGGTTCTCCTATGCTTCTGCAGTACTGGAAATAAAGTATTGCAATCGCTTTTACAATGTGAAAACTGAAGTTGTGAAATGAAGGAAGACTTTACAGTGTTGCAAAAGATGGTAATTAAAGACTTCAGAATTGCTTTTTAATTTATATACAAGTCAGAAGACGTTTGCCATGATGCTGAATGCTGGGGGAGTGTGCGGTAACAGATTTCTTGCTTCAGCTTTTTCTCCACCTGCAAAACCGGTGGCAATGTTTCTCCAAAATTGCATATTTACATTCACTCAATTTTATATGTAAACAAATTATATAAGAGAAGCTCTTCATAACAGCATATTAAATTTTAATGCTGTTTTGGGAACTGAGAAAGTGTTTCTGTAGGGTCTACAGCCTATACAACTCTGAATTGTAGAGTATCTTCAGAAAACTATTCAGGATTTGGGGTCTTAATGGGGATTTTTCTGACTGGAACCTGAGATACTTCTTACAGCTGCCAACACCATTAGCTGGTTGCCATCCATACAAGATGTGGCAGACAACTAATTCTCCAGTACTGACCTGTGTGAAAGAGCCATGCTGGTTTTGATAAAGCCAGATAATCCTCTGGTACTCCTTTCTTCTATTTCCTTAGTCCTAGCTAATGAAATACGCTGTGGAGAAGCATCAAGAATAGGCACCACTGGAAAAAAAGGAAGATAGGAAAGCATGATCAGATTAAAAAAAACTTGGGTAACATGAGCATGTGGGGGGTTTTAAAGGTTTATTGCCTAATTGTATCTTAGTATCTTTCTTCTATCAGTTTGCATGATTAAGACTTCTAACTACTTTTTATCAAATGCAAAAGCTATTTCTTTCTCTACAAATGGATTTCTTAATGTTTTTTTATATTGTTCCCTTAATTTCTATCTAGTCAGCAAAGAAGAAAATCCTATTTATTGGGGCAATTTAAATGCAATTGTTAGTTCTGAAAGAAACTCTTTTAATTAAAAATATTCTCCTCTGTTTTCTGGATACATACTGTCTATTTAATAGAGACGGCTGCCAAGCTTTGACTTCTTTTGGCAACCACGAACCTAATTAGCATTTCTGTACCAAATAGAACCTTTTTAAATTTGCAAAAGGAATGTAGGAATTCTCTTTATATTTAAGAGAGTTTTGTCTGCCTCAGCAGCAACTGCAATCTTTTTGCTCATAGTTGAGGGTTGCTGTACTAACACCTGGTTGATAAATGCCTGTAGTGGGGACTTCGGACGTCAGCTCACTGGCTTAAAACAAATGCTGCACTTATACTTCTTTAATTTTTTTTTTTGTGATGAAACAAACTGTAAAAATCTTAACAAATGAGATTAAACCAGTGATTTGTTGTCTGCCTAGCATATCCAGTCTTTTTTTTAATGTAGAAGAAAAATGCTTTTTGTTTAATTTGGTGTAAAAGCAAATGCTGTTGATTAAGAGGACACATAGCTCAAATAAGCTTGAGATGTATGGAGATGATGTTATTTTTTAATCGAATTGTCTTTCCATTCAGCAGCTATGTGGAAAAATATGCAAGCGAGATAATGAATATGGTAGCATTATATGTCAAATTACTTCTACAGATTATTTACATGGGCAAGAGGTTTTTATGTGGTCACCTTATCATACACAGGGAAATAATGCTGTTCTTTTTTTCCACTTGAGAATTTCATCAGAAAAATTTTGGACTACCAAAAAGGAAAGAAAACTTAGAGAAAAGCCTTTTGTGGAATAGGTTGGCATTCTTTCAGACCGTTTGCCAACACATTGATAAAATAGATTACTTTTTATCCTTAAGGGGATGGGAGGAGTCAGTGCAAGTCCAATCTTAATTTTGTTCTATTAACTTGTAACTGCTTTAGGTCTGACCTCAGTCCAACTTACCTGGTTTTCATACCACTAGAGCTGCGTGAGGCTCATTCTTTTCATGGTATAATGGTTTTGTTGCTATGATCGTACCATCTATAAAATGTAGTTGCTTGTCAACTATCCTTAACGTTTTGTTTTTAAACTCACATTCAAGTCATAAGAGAGAAAGCTTTACTAAAAGCTGCAACTTTTGCTGCACTTCAGAAATACATGTTGCCTGTTGACATTTTTGTGAAGAACCACTCTTACAAACCTAGCTCGATTGGGTCCATTTTTCCGACTCTATTAGATTTCTGTTTTCCTATCTCTTAGACTTCTTGTATTTATAAGGAAAAATTGGCTAATGAATGCAAGATGTGAATGTGATATGCCTGATGCTACTTCTATTTTGTTATCTTTGTCTCAAGGAAGTATAAATTCTAAGACTAAGTCTATTCAGCTGTTCTAACAGCTGAAAATGCCATCCATTTCTCAGAGTGGTTTTGTTCACTAGACCTACTGTAATATTTGTGATACTCAGCATTTCAGTTGTATAATTTTCAGCATTTTGCTATGAAGTCTACATAAAAATGAACTTGTTCAAAATTAGAGTGCATATTAATCAAATCCTTCAGTACTGGATTTCTGTTTGTGTATTCAATTATGGCGTCCCACAGTGTATTTACTTCAGCAAAGTAGGAACTGTCACAACATGACATATTTATGCAGCTCAGAAATAACTTCTGGCGGTGCCAATTCAGAATGGATCCCGTTCATATTGTTTAGGAACATCTATCGAAATCTTTTATTCATCAGAAATATATGGAGAAAAAAAATCTTTGATACCCCACTAATCTTGAAATTCATTCAGTTGTGTTTGCCTTGATAGGTATGAATGTGTAAAGCTGCTGGTAATTACAAAGTAGCATAGGTGTATTACAGGTTTGCTCTGGGCAAATTTGATACCAGATTGCTGCATTTTCTTCAAAAACATCTGCTTGTGATAAGCACTTGAGGAATCTTGTGGCTCACCCATTGCCTAACTGTTTTTTAATACAGTAACTTTGTTTTATCACCTCAGTGTTGGATGTTGGAGATGGAACTATTGTAAGCAACTGAAGATCTGGAGCTTAGAACATTAAGCAAGTGAGAGAAAATATATTGGAGACCTCAGACCATTGTAGGACTTTGCTTAAAACATAATAGTCATAGATGACTAAGTAAAGTACATTTAGATTCTTCTCTTTTATGTAGTTCTTGTTCACTTTAGCAAATGTTATGATATTGTCACGGTCCAGTTCACATAGTAGGCTAAGCTTTGAGGAAACCATGTACTCTTCTTCTAAGTGTAAACTGCACTGAAGTGATCATAGGATCTGGTTGCTTTCTGTGCAAAGCTCCTAGGCTTAATATTTACCTTTTTTTTTTTTTTTTTTTTTAGTTCTGTTGTATAAGTAGACTCAGAAAAATATTGTCATTCACTATCAGAATATTTCAGTGCATGGAAATGCAATCTTTAAAATAGACTGTAACGTCTTTTTGTAAAGTACTATCCTAAAAACCAGAGGTCTCGACAACAAAGTCTTTTGTATCTCTGTATTCCAGTTCTGTTGAAAAGTGGATTGCTGTGTACAGTATCAGTACAATTTAACAAGACCTGCTTTCCTTTTTGTTTTTGAAGGACTTGGTAAATATTGAGATGTTTTTGACTGCTAAAGAAGTGGAAGAGTCATTGGAAAGACAAGAGACTATGACTTGCTTGGCTTGGTGTCACGATAACAAATCCAGGCTCAGAAAAATGAAGGTATGAAAATGTAAAGTGTTCATCTTTTGCTTACATTGTTTTCTAAATGTTTTCTGAACTACTTGAATATTTGATGTGGTCCATTTGGTTTAACTTATAGGTCTTGAATGAGGCCTTGTATAAAAGTAAGGACAGTAAGTACAAAACTCTTCTTTTACGAAGGGGTAGGTAGTTGGAGCTAAACTAGCTCTCAGAAATGCCAAACCTGAAACTGGCTGATAGGTCATCTTACAGATGCGAGTGTTGTCTCAAGTTCTGCTCAAAAAAAATAATAATATTCAATTTGGTTTAGTGTGGTTTATAAACATCTAAATACAAAAGTATGTAGTGTCTTGATGCATGTGAACTTATAACTCTTTGCATCCTGCTGAGAATATAACTCAATTTATATGTGAAGGTATCTTACGAATGAGATTAATTGGTAAAACTCTGTCCTCAGGCTTAACGCTGAGAGAGATTTCATGCAGATTTTTGTCATAGTATTTTTAAGTGTTATGTAAGAAAATAAAACCTGAGTAAAGAACTAACTTTCTGTGAGAAACTACTGTTGAAATGTTTTTTCAAAAATAAAAGCCAAGTCTAATCAAGTAATAAACACAGTAAGTCTTTCTCTAGCCATTGAATACCGTGACCTGAACATGCTGTATACTTATACCTCTGCAGATGGTTTAAATTTCCTTGTCTCTTAAATTCTGCATTTCAAAACATGCTGTAATCTTTTATAGGGCTTGCAGAAATCTGTTTTTAACTCATATTAACCAAAATCCCTGCCTCCCTCAAAGATGTTTGTGTCTTATTTTTTTAAACTAAGCGCTTTCTTTAACCAAAAATGTTTGAGTGCACTTAATGATAAGCAAAGAGTGACGTTCTCTGTCACTCAGGGGCGCCAAAATGAGAATGAACCGAAGATGGGACGCAAAAGTAAATCGGCCAGTGATTACTCTAAAGAAAATGATGATCTTGTTATGGAAACCATTAAAGGAAAACCAGAATTGGTATGTAAACACTACTGCATAATTATACTGCTAAAAAATCCCCCTTGTGTAATCTTAATATGTTAAGTAATATGAGAAATAAAATATGAACGTCTTTTTCATCACCAATCTTCAACAAACAATAAATAAGGAAAAATCTTCCCCTTCTCTCTTTTTGGAGAACAACCACCAAAAAAATCTATTTCTGCAAGCCCTACTCTTCTTGTTTGGTTGGTTTTTTTGTTTTTGTTAAAACCAAACAAAAACCAAAGCTAAGGCTGTGAGAGATCAGAGTTGGAAGAAGAGAAATCACTATGCTTCTTTTTGAAACACAAACAAACATTTCTTCTAGTTGCTTAGCTACTCATTAATGTTCATGTTCTAAAATCCCAGCCACCACCTTAAAGCAAGCCTAATCTAAAAATTAAACTGTATGTTGGCCTGGGAAAGCATGCAGTCCTATAGTCTTTACAGATGTGAGCTATCTAAACTCTTGTGAATAGGTGCTGTGGAATTATTTGAAGGTATACAAAATTGAAATGTGTGCATCATCTGATTGTCTAGGACTCTTTTCTTCTAGTTACACTTTGTCTGCAGAACTCGTACAGCCACTGGCTTGCAGCTTGAAGATTCATTAAAAACAAAACAGGAGCTCTGAAGATTGTTTTGGGATGTGGGTTTTTTGTTGTTGAAACATTTTAACAAAGTACTAAGCTCTAGGATTTAGTATCATTAACAATTAAAAAGCTTGATCAATTTTTTAGTAGAAACATGCTTAGTTAAACTTCTAAATGAGAGGTTTGCATTGATTTGAATAACAGGGTATTTTAAAATAGTCCTAGTTGAAAATTTCAAAGAAAGTAGAGAAAAAAAAATATTCTTTGCTAAACCTGGGCTTAAGTACAGAAAAATGCATAGTTGGAAAATAATTTCTATGTCTTAAGTATATTCTAACATATGACAGAGTGCATCGTTTTTATGTTCAAACGGCTTACATTTCACATCTAAAAATAAACAATTGTTGCGAAGGGTGCATTAGTCACCCCAGGCAGTTAACTGATACAAATTTGGAGTTGCTCAAATTCCTGC